GGGGTCAGTGGAGGGGGAATAAGTCATGTTGGATGGAGACTTACTTGGGTTGGTGAACACACAATACAATGTACAGATGTTGTGTTGTAAAGTGGTGCATCTGAAACATATAATTTTGTTAACCAGTATCACCCCAATAAATTTAATAAAAGGGGAAAAAGTCAGTATAGATTTAAGTTTAAAAAAAAAGAACAGGAATGCCCACTCTCGCCATTTGTATTCAACATTGTACTGGATGTCCTAGTTTACAGCAGTTAGGCAAGAAAAAGAAATAAAAGGCATTAAAATCAGAAAGGAAAAATAAAAATGTGTTTGCAGGTGATATAATTATGTATACAGAACCAACCTTAAAGATGCCCCTAAAAACTGTTAGAACTAATAGATTAACTCAGTGCAGTTTCAGGATGTAAAGTCAACATGCAGAAATGGTTTTTATACACTAATAATGAACTACCAGACAAATGAAAAAAGCAACCCCATTTACCGTAGCATAAAAACTCAGTAACATACTTAGGGATAAATTTCACCAGGGAGATGAGGCATGCACACTGAAAACTGAGACATTGGTGAAAAATATGGAAATAAATGGAAAGATACCCTGTGTTCTTGGATTGGAAGAATTAATGTTGTTAAGATGTACATACTAACCAAAGGCATCTACAGATTCAGTGCAATTCCAATGGCATTTTTCACAAAATAGGAAGAACACTCATAAAATTCATATGGAATCACAAAAGATGCCAAATAGCCAAAACAGTCTTGAGGAAGAACAAAGCTGGAGTCATCTCATTTCCTAATTTGAAAGTATATTGCAAAGCCATAGTAATCAAACAGCAGGGTACTGGCATAAAAGCAGAAACTTAGACTAATAAAACATAATAGAGAACCTGTACACATATAATCAGTTAACCTGTGACAAGAGTGCCAGTGCACACAATGGGAAAAGATACTCTTCAATAAATTGTTCTGAAAAAACTGGGTAGCCACATGCAGAAAAATGAAAGTGGACCCCTATCTTACACCATTAAGTAAAAGCAACTCAAAATGGATAAAAGACTTAAACATAAAATTCTCAGAAGAAAATGTGAAAAGCTCTTTGATATTGGTTGTGGCAATGATTTTTTTTGCATCTGACACTGAAAGCACAAGCAACAAAAGAAAAATTATAAGAGGGACTACATCAAACTAAAAAGCTTCTGCACAGCAGAAAAAAAACCACCAACAGAATGAAAAGGGATTTTAAGGGATAGGAGAAACCATTTGCAAATTGTATGTCAGATAAGAAGCTAATATCTAAAGTATGTAAGGACCTCACACAACTCCACTGAAAGAAACAGTAATCCAATTTAAAAATGGGTATATTGGGACTATATTAAACTAAAAAGAATCCATGGCAAAAGAAACAAAGAACAAAAGGCAGTTGACAAAATGGCAGATGCAAACAATAGCTCTGAAAAAGATTTAATTTATAAGATATTTAAAGAACTCATAAAACTTAACACCAACCAATCCAACTGAATAATGGGCATAGGACCTGAACAGACATTTCTGCGAAGAACACATACAAACAGATACATGAAAAGATGTTCAGTCTCACTAGAGACATGTAAATCAAAACTACCATGAGATAACACCTCATATCTATTAAAGTGGCTGTTATCAACAAGAGAAGTGATAACAAGTATTAGAGAGGTTATGGAGAAAAGGGAACCCTCATTCACTGCTGGTGGGAATGTAGACTGGTACAGCCACTGTGGAAAGCAGTCTGGTATTTCTTCAAAAAATTAAGAATAGAGTTACCATATGACCCAGCAATCCCTGTTCTGGGTATCTACCCCAAAAACTCAAAAACATGTATTTGCAAAGATGTATGCACCCCTATGTTCATTGCAGCATTATTCATGGTGGCCAAGACATGGAGACAACCAAAGCATCCTTTGATAGATGATTGGATAAAGATGTACATATACACAGCCATAAGAAAAGATGAAATACTGCCATTTGCAAGAACATGAGTGGACCTTGAGAATATTATACTAAGTGAGATAAGTCAGTCAGAAAAAGCTAAAAGCCATATGATTTCACTCATATGTGGGATATAAAACTGAAACTCATGGACACAGACAGCAGTGTGGTGGTTGCCAAAGGGAAGGGGATGAGGGATGGAGGCTGTGGCTAACATGATGATGAAAGATGGTTTGGGTTTGACTTCAGGTGGTGGGCACACTAGTATCATAGAAATGTGCACTTGCAACCTGTATGATCTTACTAACGAATGTCACTGCAGTAAATTTAATTAAAAAAATAAAAAACAAAATGGGCAGAGGACATGAAGACACGTTTCTCCAAGAAGACATATAAATTGCCATCAGATACCTGGAAAGATGCTCAGTGTCACTCGTCATCAGGAAAAGGCAGTTCAAGACCATAATGTGACATCACCTGACACTTGTGTGGATGGCTATTTTTAAAAAGACAGTAGATCAGTTCTGGAGAGGATGTGGAGAAAAGGAAAACCTGTACACTGTTGGTGAGAATGTAAATTGGTTCATCCACTATGGAAAACAGTATGGAGTTTCCTCAAAAAAAGAAAATGAAACTAGAACTACCTTATAACCCAGCAGTTCACTTCTGACTATATAGGCAATGGAAATGAAATCACCATCTTGAAAAGATATCTGTACCCATGTGTTCATTGCAGCATTATTCCAATAGTCAAGACATGGGTAAAGAAAAGGTGGTAAATATACACAATGGATTATTATTCAGCCTTAAAAAAGGAAATCCTGCCATTTGTGACCACGTGGACGAACATGGAGGTCATTATCTAAGTGAAATAAGCCAGAGAAAGACAAACACTGTATGATCTTAATTATCTGTGGACTCTAAAGAAAAAAAAAGTTGAACTCAGAACCAAAGAGTAGATGGTTGGTTGTCAGAGACACAGATTTGACCATCTTAGTAGGTGGAGGAAAGCATTTGATAAAATTAAGTATGCATTAATGACTATTTTTATATAATACAGCATGACTTTATTTAAATATCAAAATAAGCAGCAAATTATTTGTTTCTATATAGCTATAATAATAATTCCAAGGAAAAAGATAAGATTGGAGGATTAGAGGATCAGTGCAGAGTTCCATCTTATTTATTTTATTATTTTGCAATGAGAATATCTTCATGTATCATCTGTGTGTTTAAATTTTTTTGGAATGGGAACTTTTAGACTGGTAACGGCTTCAGGAGACAACATCTCCACTCTAATTCTCCGGGCTGTCATGTTGAAGCATAACCAGACTCCTACTGTTCTTATCCAAAGATCACCAATTTTTACTAAATAAATGCTCCTCGATTTGTTGTATGCTTTTGAGCTATTCCAAAGCCCTGAAATAAATGTTGTTTTGCAATAAGTATTTTGTCCAGTTTTATAGTTGTTTTGAGGGGAGAGGATCTGCCAGTCTTTTCACCACCATCACTGGAACTCAGTCAGTTATTAATTACTTGAGTTGATTTTTTTTCTGAGCCAATATTTTCATATTTATGGAGTCTGTATATTATCTTCCCAAGGTTGCTATCACAAGGTAGCCCAAATTGGGTGACTTACAACAACAGAAATGTATTTTCTCATAGTCTCAGAAGTTAGAAGACTCAGGTGTCAACAAGCCATGCACACTCTGAAGGTTCTAGGGAAGGGCCTGTTCCATGCCTTTCTCTTAGCTTCTGGTGTTGACAGTCCTAGGCATTCCTTGGCTTGTAAATGCATCACTGCAGTGTCTGCCTCTGTGGTCACGTGGGGTTCTCCCTATGTGTCTTCACATCATGTTCCTGTGTTTGCCATTAATACCTTTAAATAATAGGAGCATAGGTATAAAAGTGAATTTGTTTAACCTGACAAATGATTTTTATTTAAAAAACAATAGAAAATTATTCTTACTTGGTGATGTGTTGAATTCTTTCTCTTTGAAGTGGAGACCAATATAAGGATGCACATCATCACCACTTATTTTCAGGATCTTACTGGAGGCTGTGGTTAGTGCAATGTGGGGGTAAGACATAAAGGATGAGGGGAGGGAGAGGAGAAAAGGAGAAGGAAATTTAAAAAAAAAAAAACCCAACAGGATTAAAGAAGCCTAGGTGGGCCCTGCCTCACATGGTGAAATTTGAATTTTTGTGGATTGGACCCACCATCATCCTCCTGTGCCTTCCAGGTGATTCCATTTTGCAGCCAAGTTTAAAAAAGTGTTTTTGTAAATATTAAGTAGGTGTCATGGTAGTCCCACAAAAACTTTATTTTTCATTTGAAGAAAATGTTGTTCATTTCAAAACAAAGTTTTACTTGTTTGAGTTGGTACCAACTTAAGGTATGCATTCTTTTATTACTTGTTTCAACATTAACTACTCTTTAAGTAGAAATACATACATAATTCATGCTGTGTAGTAAGATGCTCAAAGCTGAATGCTTATCATGATTTCTCAGTGTAATTCTATATTGGTGCTACATAAAAGGTAACCAGAGGGGAGGTGGAAGGGGATAATGGGGGGAAGGGTTTTTAAGAGCAACTATAAAGGACACATGGACAAAACCAGGGGGGTGGAGTCAGGGTAGGGAGATGGGGATGGCTGGAGTGGTGGGGAGCAGTGGCGAGAAAATGCAGACAACTGTACTTGAACAACAATAAAATGAAAAACAGAATAATAAAAAAAGGTAATGTTCCTTTTAACATTACTACTTTCTATTAAAAATTTGGACAGAGTAAGACAACTATCTTATTCTAAGAAGCCCTTGCTATAAAATCTATTGTATTGAGCCAAATTATAATTCTTCTAAGGACTATGTTTGTTAAAGCCTTCCCTATTTTGAAGGTGATGCATCAGAGAAAAGAAGAGATCGGTGTTGGCAGTGCTGTCACCCCATAGAGGGCATGAGTTTGTCCAGTGAAGTGCCAGGTCAGTAGGACCAGGGAAAGCTGGTACAGGGGCATTTTTCCTATTTCTTCTAGATGCAGCACCCTGTAAAGACCAGTTGTCCTTGAAGGAAAAACCTGGCATCCCAGCTGGTCTGCATCTTCTGAACCAAGCAGGCTCCAAGGACACCCCTGGGGGCACATTGGCCCCTTTGGTGCCATCCTCCCCTTCTGTGAATGTGATGCCCCAGGAAATGGCTGCACCAGCTGCCAGCCCCAAGCTAGAACCAGCAAGGGGGGTGGCCATGCAGGCAGGTGGCCCAGTGACCTCTCAGGAGATGGCCAGTGAGTTTGAGATCCCCCAGCCACCGACAGAGACTCATGATGATGCCCAACTTGCTGCAAGGCTCCCAGATATACTCAGAGAGCCTTGCACCGCCCCCCCAGAGGTCCCTCATCACCCCACAGGTCTCAGGGAGCCTGCCACAGCCAGGGAGGCCAGCACCCAGGTAGAGTCCCTGCCAGCTCCAACCCCTGCACCCAGTGCCTCCAGCAGGACCCCTCAGCCTGCCCTGGGCCAGTCCCTACCTCCACTCTCTAATGTGGTGGGTGCCATCAGCCTGGCTACCTCCCAGCTCCCAAGCCCCCCACTAGGGCCCACCACCCTCCCCCAACCATTAGAGTCAGATGGGGAAGGGCCACTTCCTAGAGTGGGCTTCGTGGACAGTACTATCAAGAGCCTCGATGAGAAGCTGCGGAATCTGCTCTACCAGGAGCATGTGCCCACCTCCTCGGCCTCAACCGGGACCCCTGTGGAGATGGGTGACCAAGACTTCATCCTAGAGCCCCCGAGAGGGGATTGGCCCTGCACAGAGGCATCTAGGGGGGACCCAGCCCTGCCTTCACAGTTTGTGGTGAGTACTGGCCTTGCCCACAGGTGTCGTTCTGTATCAGGGTGGGGGGCCAAATTGAGTCTGGTCATGCAGAGCTGCCTAACCCCAGCCCACCTGTCCTGCCCTCCAAGTCCCATCTCTGAGCCTGGCTTGCCAGTGTGTTTGCAACAAGTGGCCTGTTTGGGAACATGGGGTGTGCAGGTGCAGGGTCAGGAACTGGGTGGCATCAGTGGTGTGTGTGGAGCTCCTGGGATGGGGCCCCGCTCCATCCTCAGGACAGGGAGCCTAGCCCTGGGATGGGAGGAGATGATTTGCAGTTTAGCTGCAGAGATGTCAGTAAGTGAGGCTTCTGGCTCTTTCCTTTGTGTTTCTTCCTCCAGTTGGACAAGTCAGAACTGGCCCCTGGGCTAGAGGTGGCATTGGAGCAGGCTGCGTCCTCACCAGTGAAAGGTGATGAGCCCCAGGACCATTGGCTCTATCCCCACTGTGCATGATATGCCCCATCCTTCCTTGCTTCTTCAGAGCACTCTGCATCCCTGCCCTTCATCACGCAGCACCTTGGGTGGGAACCAAACATGGCAGAGCCTTTCATGATGCCTCAGTGTGTGTTTGTGGGCCAAGAATAGAAAGCCCACTGTGGAAGTGGATGGCAGCCCCCTCCCCTTAGCCTGGCTGAAGGCTCTATTAGCCCCTGTCACTATAGCATGTTAGTCCTTGGGCTGACACACAGCTCTGGCCTGCCATGTCTCTTTTGTCATGTGTGGGTCTCAGCTCAGGCCAGTCTCCCACACGTCAGCTCCTGCTCTGTCATTCACTTTTCACAGCAGTTCTGGAAAAGCAGGTCAGAAATATGCTGTGATCCCATTCTGTAGACAGGGAAACTGAGACAGACTTAGATGACATGGACCTTCCCTAGACACGAGCAGCAGGGCTAGAAATCAGTCCTGTTTATCTGCTCCTTCCAAGACCTCATGAAACCCATTTTTCATCAGAACATATCAGGGAGAGATAGGGTGATGCCATCAGGTGAGAGATGTCAGGTAAGACAGGGTGACACCGTCAGGTGTGTAGAGGGCCTGACTGTGCCCGAGGGTCTGGAACATGTGCATGTAGGGACCTGAGTGCTAGTGGGCTTACGGTTTCTCCCTTCCCCAGGTTCTAGGGCATCTCCTGTGAAATTAGGGGGCTGGAGGTTAGGACAGTTTCTCACTGTGGCTCCCTTTCCCTTCCATTGGCTTTCCTCCCACCATGATTCAGCTTGCCTTGAGCCATTCCTGCCTTTGTCCTTGGCACCAGCCCAAGTAATGATTTTAATGTTCTGACAGCAGCAACATCTTTGAGCAACATACTGGGCTCTGATGGAGGATGGGTAGCCTCAGGTTCACCTGCAGCACCCAGTGTCCCTCAGGTAGGTAGTTTTCTGTGATGAGATATTGAGATGCTCAGCTGGTTGATGGAGTTTGCTCTCTGCTGGTGTTCCTGTGGAATCTTTTTCTTTCTTCTATTTCCCAAGGATGCCCCTGCTTCCGCCATCCCTGCACATCTGGAGCTCACAGACCAGAGCGGCGGGGTCCCTGGGGAAACTGCAGCCGAGCCCATGCAGTGCTACCCCAAGATGTTGACCGAGGGCAGCCAGGCCAGCCACCCCCAGACTCACGGTGCTCTGGCCTCAGGGTCCCCTCAGAAACAGCCAGCACGGCAAGGTGGCAGTTCACCAGCCAAAACGGTGGGCCGGTTTTCTGTAGTCAGCACCCAGGATGAGTGGACCTTGGCCTCTCCACACAGCCTGCGGTACTCAGCCCCACCTGATGTGTACTTGGAGGAGGGGCCCCACAGCCCTGATATGAAGCTGGCCCTGCGGCGTGTGCAGACGACTTCCTCCATCGAGGTCTGTCCTGGAGAGCCCATGTCCAGTGACTCTGGGGATGAGTGCCCACGTAAGAGGCGCCCTATGCTGAAGCATGGCTCTCTGCCTGGCAGCGGTGGCAATGTGGCTAGTGACCTTGTGAAGAAGGCCACTGCCTTTCTACACAGGTCCGCAAGGGCTGGCTCTCCAGGTCCAGAGACACCCAGCAGGATGGGTGTGAAGGTCCCCACCATCAGTGTGACCTCCTTCCACTCCCAGTCATCCTACATAAGCAGTGACAATGACTCAGAGATTGAGGATGCCGACATCAGGAAGGAGCTGCAGAGTCTTCGAGAGAAGTAGGTCCTGTGGGGTGGGTGGCCTGCCAGTGTGGGGCTCCAGGCCACAGTGTTAGGGTGCAGTGGGCAGTTAAGTGTATATATGGAGCTTAGACCAGGAGACAGGGCAGTGGTGATTGTTACTGCTGCCTGTTGGCCTGGTCCCTAGTCTTGGAGCTGCGCCTCTCCATTTCCTGTGGTTATACCTTCCTCCTGTGGCCCTTAACAGAACAGCTCTGTTGTTGCTCAGATCCAGGCCCTCCTCACACTCTACAAGTGGTCAAGGTCCCTGAGATGCAGCCTCACCCTGAATTCTTCTGGGCAGGAGAGGCCACAGTGTAGTTACTGAGGTGAGGAGAGGCTGGAGTTCTGAAGAAGGAATGGCTGTGGGCTAAGAGCTCTTGGAGTGGACCCTGGAACTGCCCACTCCAAGCAGAAGCAGACTCCTCTCTCATATTCTTCCCTCTGGGTGGACAGGGCAAGGCCATGCCTGCTGGGAGGGCTTGGGAGAACTTGTCAGGCACTGCCCACTGGCTTCCCTGGCCCCCCCACTCCTTAAGGAGCCAGCTGCCCTTCTCTACCTCTTTATTCCAGCTGCAGGTGGTCAGGACCAGCCCAGGGGCACCTGATCAACCTGTAGCTCCCTCCCCTGATATACTGTGACAGCTGAAGGCTGTACATGGAGCAGCCATCTAGGGATGTGGTGTCCAAGGAGACATGGGGTAGGGGACTCAGCTGTGCTTTCTCAGGGGTATCACCCTGGAAGCTCTTGGTCAGCAGAAACAAAATGGGATAAGGGGAGCCCAGAGGCAGCCACCCTCCACTGTGAGGGAAGCTGTAGAAGATTGTGAGTGGGGGGATCTTGGTGCACGAAAATCAAGGAGAAGCACCCTGACTGGTGTGGTTCAGTTGGTTGGCACCAGTTCAGTACTGGTCGGGGCATATTTCTCTCCTTCTCTTTCTCCCTCCTTCCCCTCTCTCTAAATAAATAAAATATTTTTTAAAAAGTGAGGGAGAAGCTGCTGTGCACTCTGAAGGGGCAGGGCCCGGAGGTAGGGGTCCTGCAACCTGGGGAGAGGGTGGGGGCTGGAGGTGAAGGGGTGCGCTGCAGGGATGGGAAGGGAGAGAGGAAGAAATGCCAGGAGCCTGGGGAATGGGGACACAGAGAATGCAAAGTCCTGGCTCTGTGGCCTGATGGGACAGTGATGGACCCCAGTAAAAGGAGGAACCATTTAGAAGAGGGTGGGGTTTGGATGTGAATTGAGGGGGATCGGTGACTGCCAGGTAGGAGGTAGCCTTGTGTCAGACCCCCTGGGCACTGTGGAGACACAGGTGCCTCCCCCAAACCTGCATTTGCAGTTTTTAGAACACCCAGGAGCCCCATGATTTTAGAGGCCTGCTGTAGTCAACCCCTGTGGCTATGTGGAAGGGAAGAAAGAGGGTACTTTGGGGCAGAAGTTTCAGAGTGAGGGTCTCCCCCAAGTCTTAAATCAAGTGCTCCCCAGCTGACTAGGCATCCCTCCCCCTACTCCAGCCAGCTTTCACTTAGAAACATCACATACTGTAAGAAGCTCAATCTGATGCAACAGCAGTTTGCTGTTGAGAACATTGTTTTTCTAAAACAAACCTGGTAGGTGTTAAAGACATAAGAGGAAAAATTAGAACTTGGCTCCTCCTGTCCAACAATGAAAAACACCTATTTCACAGCCACACACAGAGGTAGGCCTGGAGTGAGGCTGAGGGGCTGAGCCCCTGGCCAGGGTGGCTGGGACACATGAGATCCTACTGAGGGGATGGTGTCTGGGCCAGTACTGCTCAAGTTGGCAGGAAGGGTGGGCAAGGGAAGTAGCCAGGGGCTCGGCCACTGACTGCTGAGGGAGGTCGGCAGGGATCCCTGTCTCCTCTGGCTTATCCTAGAAACTGCCCTTTCCCATAGTCAGTGCTTCCCTCTGGGCCTTCGTTAGGTTTCCCACTTGTGTGGCTTGTCAGTTGAGCTCTGTGCCCCATGGGTGGTGTTGCCTGAGCTGGGAGTCCCCCGGTAGGGAGGAGCTGGAGCCTCAGGTCTCTGGCTGACCACATGTATCTCAGTTTAGACCTGCTAGTGTTCCCTCATCTGAGACCACGCCTCTATTGTGTGAAGGAAATAACACGTGATGAACCCAAGTGGGCTCTCAGTTCTGAGAACTGATTATTTTACTTTTTACCTGTGTTTATGTGCAGGATTTGTATTGCAAGCATAAATATGTGAAGTTGTTCATGCCACACACCCCCCAAAGAAAAACCCTAAAACACAGCAGTATTATGAGCCTGGATGGGAAACAAGTCTCCCTGGGCTGGTGGTTTGCAGTTCTGTGTTATTGGATGCTGAGCCCTCAGTGATGCCCACTTGGTTTAGACGTAGACAGAAAGATGTTTAAGTAAATGCTGCAGAGTCCCCTCTGAGGAGCCCCATTTGCCCAGGGTGACCTGCGGGCTGCCTAACCTTCCCTTCTTTCCTTTCCTGCAGACACCTGAAGGAGATCTCAGAGCTGCAGAGCCAGCAGAAGCAAGAGATAGAAGCCCTGTACCGCCGCCTGGGCAAGACCCTGCCCCCCAACCTGGGCCTTTTTCATACAGCACCCCCAACCAGCCGCCGGAAAAAGACCAGCAGGAGCAAGCTGAAGGCTGGGAAGTTGCTGAACCCTCTAGTGCAGCAACTCAAGGTTGTGGCCTCCAGTACAGGTCAGCCCTGTGTGCTCCTGGCCACCCTTGGGAGGGGGCTAGGCTGGTAGTTGGGCAGACCCCCCCCCCCCCAGGCCTGGAAGAGTTCTTCATGACTCTCCTTCATGGGAATGGGGAAGCCACTATGGGCTGTGGAGGGCAAGGGCCTCTGCCCCCATGCTGTGACAAGAGGAAAAGGCTGTGAGTGGGCAGGTCTGCTCAGAGCACTCAGCTACCTCTGAGCTGTAGTGTATGAGGGAGGAGGAAAGCCCAGGGTCTCCAGAATTGGGGCCTGCCCTTTCCCAACCTGTCCTTTACTTCAGGTTGCTGCCTGGGACAGGGCTGTTCCCTCTGACGCAGTCTCTTAGACATATATCACCAGCTGACAGTGGGGGTTGAGCCTTTGGGGAGGAGAAGGGTGGTAAGGACCCCAGCCCTTAACCACAAACCCTGGGCACTCAGGGTGCATATGGGCCCCAGCTTGAACACTGAGGTGGAGACCTAGTGAGTTGAAGCCTCAGCTGCACCAGGCGGGAAGCTGGCAGTGAGCTGACCACAAACCCTTGGTTATCATATATAACCCACAGGGCAGAGGTCCATGAATTTTGAGAAGTACACAAATTCCATGCTAATTCCTAATGTTAACAAGAAACTGATTCGAGTGAGGAGTTAATTTACAGGCCCCCTCTTTGAGCTCAGATGGGCATCTCCAGATGTACCACAGTCCTTTCACTGCATTTGCACAAGTCAAACCCAACACAGTGTTGTCACTGTGAAAGCACAACTGGTGGAAACTGTGGTTACTTTCTTTAATCTTCCCAGCACTCCCACATGAGTAACCCAGCCACATGCCCATTGCCTGCAGGGACTTAGCTTCTCCAAGGTCACCTAGCAAAGATCAGGGAGGACAGATGTACCCTGTGGTGGTTGGTCTGTCCTGTGGCACCTTATAGTGCCTGTACCCCCTTCTCCCCACCCAGGTCATTTGTCAGAGTGCAACAGAGCCCCTCCTGCTAAGGACCCCACCAAAGCTGGGGCAGGGCCCGCACCAGCTTCAGACCCGTGTGGAAAGGCAGTTCAGACCCAGCAGCCTTGCTCTGTTCGGGCCTCCTTGTCTGCAGACATCTGCTCCGGCTTAGCCAGTGACGGAGGTGGAGCACATGGCCCAGGTGATTCTCAGCTTGCCCATCTCTGAGCATGTGCTAGTGAAGTAGGGCCCGTGTGGTATAGAGGGGACATGAGCTGTGGCCAAGGCTGCCAACAGCTTCTTAAAGAAGTAATTGTAGGGGTAGCCTTTGAATGAAAAGATGGTTGGCCCAGCAATCAGTCTTGCTGTAAGTGGCTCAGAGGGAGGTGTGCTTGACTAGTGGGACCTGGGAAAGGCACCAGGACCACTGAGAGGTCAGACGTGGCATCAGCTGTGAGGTCTGTGCCAGGTCCTAGGCACTGCCCACTCTGTTCTGCCCCATTCCCCACTAAACATGGGTCCAGAAGGGCTGCTAGGGGAACCAGGGCACAACTCTTCAGCTGGGAGTTTGGCCTTGAGGAGGAATTGCTGTGAACGCAGCAGCTGTGCGATGAGGTGCTGCACCTGCACCATCTCTGTCCAGAGAGGTGGTGACCACTGCCACGTCTGACTCCCCCACCCCCACCCCGCACGCTCTCCTGGGGTCCGCTTCTCTTCCGCTCCAATGCTTCCTCCTTTCCATTATGTGGTCGGTGGCTGTGGTCCTCTGGGCTGGGCTAGGTGCAGCCATGGATACTAAGTGACTGAGGCGGATGTGGCTGGTGGTGTAGGAGGAAGCCCAGAGACTGTACTTGATGCCTGTCTCTCTGTTCTCTTCCCTCTATATTCATTTGCAGGCTGGACGGTTTGCCACCCAACGTCTGAGAGAGTGACCCATAAGTCTAGTAGCAAACCTCGCACTCGATTCCTCAGTGGACCCGTGTCTGTGTCCATCTGTCTGTATTTGTTCTTCTGTATTTTATCACCACCTGGCCCTTGGTTTCTCCCCACCCTCTTCCTGTCTTCATTACCTTCCACACTTTTTGTAGGATGCCTCCCCCACACCAATGAACTCATTTAATATGGAAAATGGAACCCCGTCCACACCCGCCTGTCTAGCCCCAGAAAGCACACTAGTGCATGCTCTCTGCTCCTGCCTGGGCACTGAAAGCATGTGTAGTGGCCTGCCCACTCCCAGCCTCAGTGCCCTGCCCACTCCCAGCCTGAGCACTATGCCTACTATCAGCCTCAGCTCCACCCCCACGCTCCCAAGGTGCCCTACACTTCTTTGATCACTTGTTTTTGTTTTTTGTTTTTTCTGGTTGTAAAAGTTGGATGTACTTTTATTTCAGTTGCAATTGTGGCAAATATACACATCCACTATCCCCCACTCCAGCAACAACAAAAAGACAACTCTGGCCTTCTCCACATATATGATGTGTTTCACATATGTCTGGACTTTGAAGACATGCATGTAGTGAGCTGAAACAGTGCTAAAAGGTCACTGGAGGGTATAACTTCTATACAAGGGCTGGATCACCACATCTGGTACTATCCACCTACCGCCCACTCGCTGTATGTGGGAATGCTGAGAACATGCTCCAGCTAGGACACCCCAGCCCCTCTTTCCACTCTGCTCATCTCAGAATCTTCCAGCTCTGGGAGAGGTGATCCCAGCCTCCCACCATGCTCTGCATTTGGGCCCAGCCCCTCCTTGTTTTCTTTCTAGCTCCTGCACTTTACTTGGTGTGTTTCCCTCTCATCTCAAGGGCCTAAGAAATGAAGTCAATTATGCAAGTCCACAAAACCCTGTGAAACCAAACCTCAGTCCCAGTTGTCTTCAGAGTCCCTGGAATGCCTTCCTAGTGCCCAGGACTCATACCCAGGAATTGCATACCCGCTCGGTGCCATCCAAAATTGTTTTTACCACTCAAATGGATTGGCAGATGAATCTCAAGCTGTGGGTTTTTCAGGTTTTTGGTTTTTAACCCCAAAATTAAGCTTTTTACCAATTGGATTGGATATGCTGATTTGGAGCATGTGGTTTTTGTACAATAAAGATACATTGTACTTTCGGGACCTGAGGCTACTTCCACAGTAAGCATCCTTCCCCATAAGGGGGCCCATGGCATCCCCGCTAGGTGGGTGGGCCATGTTGGAAGCCCGAGATCAGGTAGAAAATGCCCAGGGACTTCCCAGCTCTCCTCATTCACTGATGGATGATGCCTGGTTCAGCTTGGGGATCCCTGGGCTGCTGGTTAGTTGCAGAGTTGGATGGGGTGCCAGGAAATGGGGAGTCCTGAGTGCATCCTGGCTCCCTATTCACTTAGTGTTCTCCTTCTGCCTGTGTGTTTGTGGCTCTTGCCCTGGAGGTTGTGGTGTGAGAACATCTGGATCCCGAGGTATCTCTTGCTCAGATGGGCAACTGTGTCCCTGCTGGGACGGCCACTGGCCATTTGTAGGAAGATATTAGAGCAGGTGGTTGTTTTCCCAGGGTACTTGGAGTAAAAACCTGTGAGTAAGCAGGCACCCCGCATGCCTTTCAAGTCATCACCATTTTACCTTTCTATGTACCTGGTTCTGCTTGTTGTTAAAGGTTTTTTTTTCTTCTTCATGATTACTTACTGTTCCAACATAAGAGAAAAATTTAGGGCATAGCAGGGACAAAGAGATTAGGTTTTGCTTCTGTCCTGGCCAGAAAGGAACATGTAAAGTGCAGCTTGGTGGTGGACAGTGGGGACTGGCCCAGACAGGATACTTTTATGTAGTTGCTTATACTAGCTTGGTAGACCTTGTTTCCTCAGATGCTATGAGCATGAGGATACCGCTGTTTCCATAGCCCAGTTATATTTAGGCATGTCTGGGCTGAGTTCCTAGTCTTCTCAGGCCATGATGTCACCCCACATGCTCTGAGGTTGCTGGTGAGGAGGGTGCTTAGCCTGCTCTGTGCCCTCTTGCCCATGGCCATGAGGCCCAGGGGTGTGAAGACTTGAGCTCCCCTGCTCCTCTACTAATGGGGCAAGAGGAGCCAGGACACCCCCCACTTTGGTCCCAGTATCCACCTTGCTGGCCCTCTGGGCTCCTGGAGCCACTGTGTGCTGCTTCCAGGGTAAGGGACTAGAAGGAAGTTCAGAGCTGGTCTGGGAGGGCTAAAAGAAGGAAGCTAGAGCTTGAGGTGTAATGTAGCTGGCCCAACCCAAGCTGAAGATAAAGCTGAGAAAGGCTTTTCAGTTTCCTATCCTGAAACAAATAGGAAACAAGGCTCTGGGACGATTAAATCTGTGTAAATTGTGGAAGTACAGGAAGTCACAACTTCCTCTAGAACTCAGAGAATGAGAGATGTCAGAAATGGGCACCTACAGCTTCAGGGGGCTAGCAGGTGACCCCAAGTAGGAGAGAAAGCCATGCCAGGCACTTAGAGCATGGGGAGGTCACAGCCTCTGTGCCTCCTTGGGGTGGGCACCAGATAAGGCCTGCCATTAGGTGGGCAGGCTCCCGGGGAGGCCTGGCCCCCAAGGTAGGGCAGACCCTGGATGTAGCCTTGAAGGCTTCTCCCCACCCTACAGAACCCCTTCAGCTTGGGTCAGGTCACAGAAGTGATTATATCCTGGTGTCCTATTGGTCAGAAGTTGTTGTTAGGCACATTGTCCTTCCCCTGCCTCTGGCTTCTCCTGTGTCTGACAATGTGCCTGGCATTCATGCTACAGCAAAACTTGTCTCTGGGACCCCTCCTGCCACTATGTAGTGCCCTCAGGCCCCCACCTGGGTGTGTTCTCTCTCCCTCCTTACCTCCCTGTGGGGACCCACTGCAGTGGGTTTGGGAGAGGGTCCAGGGGAAGAGGAAGGTACACAGGGACGAAACCCCACACACAGCCCCCACCACAGCTTAGGCCACCCCGGGTAATTTGGTCAGTGGTCTAAAGGGCTGGCCCCTATGCTTTGAGGCCTTTGCAATCCAGGTGGTGACACTCAGGGTGAAGTCACCTTAGGGCAGAGCCAACAGGCATCTACTTCCCAGTTCCTGCTTCAGGGACAAGTTTTGCCACTTCTCAGCTTGAGAAGTTGATGGCTCAGTACATAGACACCTAAGAGCAACAACACTTTGGTGCTCTCTGCCCACTTTCTTCTCTGTGCCAGAACCAAGTGCCTAGTGCCACTATTGGGATAGGGCCGATCTGTCAGAGATGTGCCTCTCATCACGGGGGTGGGGAACCCTGGCTGGTCTGCACTGAGGCTGTGGCCCTGCGGTTCTATGTGGCCTTTGTCAGTATTTGAACACCATGGTAAATGGCAAGGGTGGGGATGGCTATAGGGCCTGGTCCATTTTTTAAGCAGTTTGTCCCCCCATCAGACACTCTCAAACTAGAGACATCCTGCTGGTAGCCAGCCAACAGGGGTGGAGGTGGGGAGGTGTTGTCCATGCCAGGAGCAACCTCTGTTCCTATGCCAGAGCGAATGTAGGGGCAAGTAGCATGGGTCCTCACCTCACTGTGGGCTTGAGTGCTGCTGGAGACTCCCCTGGTATGGCTGTGAGGGCAGAAGCCTGGTTGCTTTAAAAAACACACCTACAGACATATGCTGCACAAGGACAGGACGCCAGGTCATCATGTGTGCTCCCTGTTGCAGTCTGGAAGGGTTTTCTTGCCCTACATGGACACTTCCCTGAGTAGTTCTGAGGTCTGGAAGCCGGTTCTTTTCCCAAGGACTTGGCCAACAACGAAGTCCTACAGGGGAGACCTCCACCTCCACAGGAAACCAGGGGTGGGGCTGCTTTAAACCATCATCTCCTTAGTGGTCCCCATGTGGACCTCCTGTGAGTCCTGTGTGGACCCTCTGTGGGTCCTGGCACCCTTGCATTAATGCCTGGTAGCTTTATGGGCAGGAACCAGGGGGCGTATACCCCACTGTGATGTGGAATGACCATACCAGGGTGGGGCTTCTCCATCCAATGCCGTAGGTTTGGTGAGCACAAAGGGCAAGCTCCAGGCCAGAACAGATACTGTGGAAAGCTTGAACGGGGCAAGGCTCTGCTGGAGCGAGGCTGGTTACCAGCCACACGATGGCTACTCGGCTGTAGTTCTGCATGCAGCTGAACAACATGATCTCAAAGTATAAGGCCCAAATCTGGTTGACTTGTGCTTAAAGTTCAGCTGGGAGAACCAGTACCTGCCTGTGCTCTGGTCACCTTGGGCCTGTGTTGCATATGGGCATGGAGGTCTCCACGAACTGGTATGGCTTTCCAGCTTCAAGCACTGTGTTCTGGTGGCCCATGGCACCAACTCTGTCTTTCCACTGAGGTCTTTCTGGGGCCCTGGCTCCATCTGGTGGTTTTGGACAGGCAGCTGGCTGTGGGTGGCCCTCCCACAGGCTGATGGAAATCAGCCCTGAACTTAGACATCCAGCCTGGCAGGCCCAGACCAGCCTTTTGAAAGAACCTGCTGCTGTTAAGCTGAGGGGTCCCACCTAGTATTTAGTCCCATGTTCAATCATCAGTAAAGGCCTGCTATGGTCTAGAAACTAAGGCTACCACCACATAAACTCGATGGGGAAATGTGCATTCCTTGATACCCCACACAGTCACCAAGCCAGGACCCTCCTACCTGTCTCATGTAGTTCCCAAAGGTCCCTGTGTTCCCAGTAGGGCTCCATCTGGAACACAGACCAGCAAAGGCCCTTCAACACTCCCACTGAGATTCAGAAAAAGCCTGGCTCTTTCCTTTCTATTCGCACATTAAAGATCCCAGCAGAATATCACGTGCTTTTCCCCAAGTCAGCCTCAGAATAGACAGGATGAACTAAAATTAGAACAACTGAATGTGAATCCAATACACTCAGCTGTTCCTCACGTTGCCTGGTCGACCTGTGCCCTCTGTCCTCAAACACAGGAGGCAGCGGTTTATCTTCCATGGCTAGAGTGTTGGGGTTGGGGCTGCTGCTGTCAATACCCTCCAAGGAGCAGCATGGTCGTGTGCTGGGCGTCCTTCTCCTGGTGAGGGGCGTGGGCGAGAACACAAAGCCTGCATGTCAGTGCAGCCTTGCTGAGTGACCTTGGGGATGCCTGGGCCATCCTTGCCTGCCCCACTTCTGCCAGCCTGACTTTCTGGAAGGCAGGTTAAGTGAGGCGCAGCCGTCCCTCCTGGCCAGCTCATCTGCTCTCCATTTGCGCACTGAATGTTAAGGCATGCCAGACACTAAAGTCAGCGTGTCTGTCAGCACAGACAGGCTCTGTGGATCACAGGGTCCAGCAGCCCTCAGTGGTCGTCGAGTGACAAGGAGACCTTGCCATGGACTGGTGGATAGGGAGTACCAGATGAAGCTGCCAAGTATAGCACAGAATCAGGGTCAGCCCCGCCTTCTACCTTTCTATAAGACTTCTTGCATTTCCTTAATGCCCTCTGCAGGCCTCCTGGTCAGGGCAGCTATCTGAGATCCAGGATTGGCCTCAAACCTGCAAAACAATGTATCTTTTTGCACTTGGAAAACCTTCTATGGGCCTTGTGGCCAGGCTCTAGTGAGCCAGCACTCTCCTGGCTGACATTAGTGAGGTTTCCTGCCTCAATCAGTGCGGCTCCCAAAAGCCCTATGTTTAAAAGCCCAGTGGTGTGCTTTGCCCTTTTTTTGTTGTTGTTTGGTTTGGTTTTCTTCTTTTTCTTTCTTCCTTTTTTTTTTTTTTTTTTTTTTTGGAATATGTTTCCAGAGATCCACACTCTTCTATCTGAAGCTTGGCACTTGGCCCTGTACCTCCACCCTTTAGAGAAGCATGTGTGAACTGCACACTGATTCAGGGACACCCAGTGAACCCAGAAGGCTGGTCTTTTTTTCTCTAAACTGCTGGCCTTTGCTACTCCTTGCACTGATTACTTTTGCTTAAAGTGTGGTGGCTTGACCCCATGTGTACTGTCTTCCCTAATTCTGTGGTCTTGTGTCATTTCTTTCTCCCTTGCAGGGTCTGCCTTGAAGCGTCTCTGTCTAGGCAAAGAGCACAGCAGTCGTAATTATCGACAGGGGCGGGGAGAGGGGTTCATCCCTTGTCCGCTCTCCATCGCATGGGCTTTATTGTGGCTAGTTTGCATCAGGGTTTCCATGGCTGAGCCTGGAACCATGGGGGCTGGCAGACAGGCAGGCATGGGCCTGCTCTATGCCCACCCTCCGTGGGCACTGCTCCACCTGCACCTGGCTGGACAGCCATCTGAGTGCCCCTTTGTATCTCCATGGCTCTTAGAATTTGTGTATTCTCGCCATTTCACAACTAATAGGCTGTCCTGCTCTGGAACATGCACATATTCTCAATTAATAATTGGCTCCTGGTCCAAAATGTAGGAATGAGTATTTCCTTGCAGTGCTAAAGATGAGTGCCAAAGGAGAGTTCCTGGGACAAAATAGGTATCAGGCTACCTGGGCTGCCTACTGCTCTCATCTCATGCCTTTTTATTTTTTTCTTTTCTGGCTGAAATGGTCATGTAGAGATAGCTCTGTGTGTGTAGAATCTCATTACTAATGTTTAACTGTTTGTGTCTGCTTTTTTGTTGCTAGCCACTAAAGTAGACTACATTTTGCAATGTCTTGTTTGAAGAGATGGTCATTTAGGTTATTTTTTTATTTTAAATGCAGAACCTTTAAAAACTGGAGGGGACACATTTTTTTTTAAAGTAAAAGATCCTGTTTTGATCATTTAAAACAAATCTCTCAGTGGAGTAGCAAGTGCACTTGACCTTGCCCCACCTCTCCCGGAGCACATGCCCAGGCCTCCCCTCCTCTAACCTCCACTCTGCTGGTATCCAGATTGCAGGCAGGTTACGGAAGGAAGGCTCTAGGTTTGTGCCCTTTGTTAGTACCTTCCCCAGTGCTCTGGCAAGGAGAGCTGCAGTTTCTGTGTCTTATATTCCAAACCACCAAGCCATGTAAATTCACAGGAATGTCAATGACCCAGCCTAACCCAGGCATTGTCCCTTTGCTACAAGTTTAACAACAGCTGCTGTGTCCCCAAAGCATCTCCTTTGAGTCCTAATGTTAGAGCTAAGAGTGCAGAGGCTTGAATGGTTTGTCCCTAGTCTGTTCCAGGCGTTTCTTGAGCTCTCTTAGTCTGGGGTTTGGCAGGCTCAAGCTGTGTGTGCATAGAGTGAATACAGAGTTAGGCTGCCAGCACCTGGGGTCCTGTTCCCTGGCCTGGCTGATGAGATGGGTGACATAGCCCAGTCCCCTGTGTCCTGTGGAAATGTTTCACCATGTCTAAAAGGGGCACATAGCTCCCAAATGCAGACCATCTCCTGAAACAAGATGTTGCCTAGCCTGTGCAAGACCATTGTATGAATGACTATAGCCAGCCCCTGGTACTGGCGGACAGTGTCACCAACCCTGGCCTGTGTGTGCCTCCCCAGGGTCCTCCACCAGCAGCCTGGTCCCAGGCCCTGAGCCAGGCCCTCCACCTGCCCTGCATGTCCAGGCTCAGGTGAACAACAGCAACAACAAGAAAGGCACTTTCACGGATGACCTGCACAAGCTGGTGGATGAGTGGACCAGCAAGACAGTGGGGGCTTCACAGCTGAAGCCATCACTCAACCAGCTGAAGCAGACACAGAAGCTACATGACATGGAGGCGATGGCTGGCTGGCCCCCAACCCCTGGCGAGGTGCGGGCTGTAAGTGGGGTGTGGCCAGGTCAAAGGGATAGGGTGGGAGTGGGACTGTGACCACAGGCATCAGCAGAGCAGCAGGTCTTAGCTGAGTGTCAGGTGGCATCTAGGTAGAGCTGTCCTAGGTCTGGTGGATGCAGCCTGGTCCCCACAGTACCAGGTCCACCTATCCTCACTGTGACCTTAGGCTAAAGATGTGTGTGGGGTCTGCACACTGCACCCTGGACCATCTCTTGTTAGACTCAGGTACACCTGGACCAGGTGGAGCAGAAGCCAGGAGCTGCTGTCTTAGATTTTGTCATGGGATTTGTTCCTGTGTCGGGACTATGCCGACCTCAAACCTACTTGAAGGAGTATTCCCTCTCTTTCAATATTGTGAAGGAGTTTGTGCAAGATTGTGTTATTTCTTTCTGAAATGTTTAGCAAAGTTCACTTATGAGACCATCTCAGCTGGCAATTCTTTTTCTGAGTGTGGGAAGGTTTCCCTCTGGCCTGCTATTTTGAAAAACTGCAAACACACAGAAGAGTTGAAAAATCTGAAGGGAACTCTTGTGTACCTCCTATCTGTATGCTGTGATTGACATTTCATTGCTTTTACCATCCCTTGAGGGTAAGGTTTTTGTTATGGATTCAGTTTCTCTTATAGTTTCAGTACCGTGTGGGGTTTCTCTTACTTTCTGTTAATCTCTTTTTTTCTAGCAGTTAGTACATTCTAGATTTATTAAATTCATCTGTAAATTTAGAAATTTATCAGATTTCTAAATTTATTTTCAAATTAATTGGCATTAAAATTCATAACATCTTCTCTTCACCATTAGCAAGATTTGCAGTGATATCTTGTTTTTTATTACAGTATTGGTGACTTCTGAATGTGTGCACAGTCTATTTCTTGAAGGATTTATAAGTTTTATTAGCCTTTTCAAGGAATAATTCTTAGCTTTGATGGTATTCTTTATTGTGTTTCATTAGTTTCTTCCTTAATTATTTTTTTTCCATCTTACATTTTTTCTTCTAGAAAAGTTTATTGAGATGTGAAGTTACTGATTTCCAGCTGTCCTTCTTTTATATAATACAGGCTTCAGGCTACAGAATTCCCTCTAAATGGTTTTAGCTGCAGAGGTTTTAGTATGGAGCATTTTCTTTGACTTTTGGTTCAAAATATTTTACAGTTTCCACTATGATTTTAAATACGATAGCTATTAATCTCCTTGTGATCTTTTTATTTCCTGGCTTTTAGTCTAATTCTACTAATAACAGAACAAAATTTGGGTGTTCTCAGTTTACTAAAATTTGCTGGGACTGGCTTTTTGACCCAGGTTGTCAGTCTTGGCTGTTCAAAGGATAATTGAGGCCAACCTCTTTCATTTCCTCTCACAGCCACATTCCTAGTTTGAAGCTCCCCTATTTCTCTTCTGAATGATGGCAGCACTCTCCCGACAGCTACATCTCCATCATTCTGACTCAAGATTATTCTGTTATTCTGCAACAAAGTTGAGAATCCTTAACATGTTCCTAAAGCCCTGCAGGGTCTTGCCATGAACCCTGGGCAAGCTTGTGTCAGCTCTGCCACTTGGACCCCCCCTACTGGCTCTCAGAGCCTATCCTGAGCTATCCCCCATCCGTCAGCCCTGCTGATCCTGTTGTTCAGATGGTTAGGATTCTTGCTAAGGTTTTTCATTTGTTTATTTTTGTGTTAAATCTAAATAACATGAAATTTATCATTTTAATCATTTTAAGTGTATAATTCAATAATGTTAAGTATCTTCACAGTGTTGTACAGCCATCACTGCTATCCATGTCTAGAACATTTTCATCAGCCAAAACAGAAACTACTCACTAAGGAATAACTCTTCAGTGTCCTCCTCTGGTACCTCCAGTTACCCAGCCACTGTTAACTTTTATTTTACTTTCTGTTTCTATGAATCTGATGACTCTAGTTACTTTTTATAAGTGGAATCATACAGTATTTGTCCTTTCCTGTTTTGCTTTCTTCACTTAATGTTTTCAAAGTACCTTAGTATTGTAGCATGTTTTAGAACTTCATTCTTTTTTCCCATTTTTTTATTGTGGTAAAATACACATAACATAAAATTTGCCACCTTAATCATTTTTAAGTACCAGTGCAGTGGCAGTAACGTACATAATAGTGCGTTACTATTGTTGTTTGCCCATCACCATTACCCATTCCCAGAGTTTCTCACATTGCAAAACCAGAACTCTGTGCTCACTGAGAACAACTTCCCATTTGCGCGCCTTGCCTCACCTGGCCCAGCCTCTGACACCCACAGTTTTACCTTCTGTCTGTATGAGGCTGACTGCTCTAGCTCCTCATATATATGGAATCACACAGTAATTGTATTTTTATAATTGGCTTATTATGTCAAGCATAATGTCATCATTGGTCATCTGTGTTGTAGTGTGTGTCACAATTTCTTTATAAGGCTGAATGATATTCCATGTGTATATGCCACATTTCATTTATTCATCCATCCAGGGACACTTGGGTTACTTCTACCTTTTAGCTACTGTGAATAATGCCACTACAAACATGGGCATGCAGATATCTCTTGGGGACTGTGCTTTCAGTTCTTTGGGGTATATCACTGGATCATATGGTAATTCTACTTTTAATTTTTTGAGAAATTGTCAAACTGTTTTCCATGGTACCTGAACATTTTTACAGTCCTACCAACAATACACAGAGTGTCCAGTTTCTCTTCATTTTTACCAAAATTTCTATTTTCGGTTTTTTTAAGAGTAGCTATCTTAATGGGTGTGAGGCATGATTTATTTGTATTTCCATAATGATCAGTGATGTTGACATATTTTCATGTGTTTATTGGCCATTTGTATATCTCCTTTGGAAAAATAACAATTTAAGTCCTTTCCCCATTTTTTGTTTTTATTATATTAGTACAGAGGTCTTTTATATTTTTTACACTTACTATGCCATGAATTCATAGGGAATGGGTTCCAGCAGCCCAGAGTTCTTTCAGTTGGTTCTCATACAGTGTGCATCTCTGGTTGGAGCAGGCTTCCTTGTTTTTCTGATCATTTTCCTTCACATTTTTCAGAAAGCTATCTCAACTCTTACAGTGCTTAATATGCTCAATACATACTTTAATTCTCTTGGCAAGAATCTTTCCCTTAATTTGTTTGTTCACAGCAATGCCCACTGTATGCTGGGTGACACTGTAGACTCCTCCAGTTTTGCCATGGAAACACCTGTGGGACATTCCTTCCCTTGATATCCACAATGTCAGCTTTCTTGTAGGTTAGCATATAGATGGATTGCCAAAGGAACAACTCCATGTTTTCTAACAGGCCTAGAGAACATGCAGTAGGTGCCTTTCTTCTTTCCCTTTGTGTTAGTCATTTTGGCAAATTACTAGAATATGGTGGTCCTGGCCAAAAGGAAGCCCTTTACCCATTTTTAAATAGCATTGTGGTTATTCTTTTCTTTTTTCTTTTATTTGCTTTTTAATCTTCACTTGAGGATATGTTTATTGATTTTAGAGAGTTTGAGAGGAGAGGGGAGAAAGAGAAAGAGAGAAAGAAACATTGATGTGAAAGAGAAACATAAGTTGCCTCCTGTATGCACCCCAGCCAGGGATTGAACCTGCAACCTAGGTATGTGTCCTGACCAGGGATTGAACCTGCACCCTTTTACCCAACCAAACCACCAAGCCAGGACTAAATAGTGTCATTTTTTGTTACTGAGTTTTAGCAGTTGTTTATTCTGGATAAATTAATGCCTTATCAGATACATAATTTGCAAATATTTTGTGTTATTTTATGGATTGCCTTTTTACTTTGTAGATAGTGCTTTTTGACGCACAAAAGTCTTCAATTTTCACGAAGACCAATTTATCTACTTTTTTCTTCTGTTGCCTGTCTCTGGTGTTGTATCCAAGAAATCATTGCCAAATCCAATGTTGCGAAACTTCCCCTATGACTCCTTCTAAGACTTTAGTAATTTTAGCTCTTATGTTCATCTCTTTAATCCATTTTGAATTAATTTTTATATATGGTATTAAGTAAGGGTTCAACTTCATTCTTTTGTGTATATGCCCAGTTTCCCTAACAGTATTTCTTGAAAAGACTGTCTGTCCTTTCCACATTGAATGGATTTGGCACTTGAATTGAAAACCATTTGACCATATGTGCAAAAGTTTATTTCTGTATTCTCTATTCTGTTCCATTGCTCTGTATGTCTGTCCTTTTGCCAGTATCACACTGTTTTGATTCCCATAGCTTTATTGTACGTTTTGAAACCAGGAAGTAAGAGTTCCCCAACTTTGTTTTTCTCTTTCAAGATAGTTTTGATTATTTGCCATCCCTTAAGACTTCTAATGATAGTTCTTTTTTGGGGGGAGGGGATTATTTCTTGAAAAAAATGCTATTGAGACTTTAATAGTGATTGCATTGAATCAGTATATAACTTTGGGTAGTATTAGCATATTAACAATACTAAGTCTTTCAATTCATGAACATGGGATGCCTTTGCATTTATGTATTTCTTCCTTAATTTCTTTTAGCAATGTTTTGTAGTTTTCACTGCATTAGTCTTTGAACTTTTAAAATTTATTCCTATTTTTATTCTTTTGTATACTATAGTAAATGAAATTATTTTCTTAATTTTCTTTTTAGATCATGTTATCTTTAGATCATGTTATCTACTTATCTTGTTCCTGATTTTACAGGAAAAGCTATCAGTCTTTTACCATTGAGTGTGATGTTCATTATGGGTTTTTTAATAAATGTACATGTGTGTGTACATACATGTGTATACATATGTATGTGAATATATATTTTGTGTGTATGTCTATATATATATTTGGCCTTTATCATATTGAAGAAGTTCCATTCTATTTTTAGTTTGCTGAGTGCTTTTATCATGAAAGAATGTTAGATTTTGTCATGCTTTTTCTGCATTATTAATGGCATTACATTGACTATTATATGTTATCTGTGCATTCCTTGGGTAAATTCCACTTAGTTATGGT